CATGCAGCCGCTTCAATATAATTAACTATGAATGATCCCACTAGGCGCATAACTCTTCTCGATATCAAGGTGTCCTCTGTTGAGAACTGAAATTTCCCCAGTTACTCGAGTCCCGTCTGATTAATGAAATTGCTTTGCATGGAGTTTTCGGCGAACTACATTTTTCGCCGCATCTGTGAATAGGCCCGGCGCCTTTTTTCAAAGGTTCCCTCACCTGGGAGAACAATGCAATATTTTCTCCTCGCTGCTTTACTCTTTGCGAGCGTCGCCATAGTGCATTTAACTCTGAAACGGACCACAAGTTAAAGCTTTCAAAGACACACAATCTTTGTGCCGTCGAATTGCCGCCATGTTTGGTACTTGAACTGGCTTCCAGGCCTCCGCTTAGTGACGCGCGATCACGTGCGGCTTTTGAACCAATAGAAATGTGTACAAGATCAGTTTTCTTGGTTCAAATCTTTTGGCGGACTTCTGTGCAGTACAACAGTGGTGTGCAAACGGATTGTGTTTATAATGATGCATCCAAAGATTTTAGCGCAAAATATTCACTTGTGAGGTTGCTTACATTTGTCTTGTTTCAAAATCGTCTTCTATTAAACAATGACTCAGTTGGATCGCGCATTAAAGAGGAAGGTATGTGTGGAAACTCATGTTTGGTTGCTCCGTTGAGATCTTACGAGGCTCGATTGTCTCTTGTCGGGTGCTAGTTGTTCGTTTTTATTGATGAAGTTTCCACCTTTTTTGTTTATACAGATGACTGTGGTCTTTGCTGCAAATCGTCCACGGAATCCTTTAGAATAATTCTGTTCTGGCGGAATATTGAAATCGAAGACTTCGATGTATTAGAGGAAATATAAAAATGTTCTGGCATGTCCGCTATGTAAAAACTATACAAGAGACTGGTTCATTTATTATAATTATGACTTGACGCTGTTTTTTCCCAGGTAGGACTTAGCTATAACTAAATACCCATAGTAATTCTGATATAAATGTCGCTCTTAACCATGAAAATGAAGTTAAAGGACATTTGATGTGTTCATAAAGGCACTGAGCTGTTTGATGAATGTACGGAATAGCCTTCGACAATATAAAAAAAAAAAAATATGACTCTGCATAAAGGCATTGCTCTATGGTTGATGAATGAACTTAAAATAAACAGTTTAATATATTTTTATGATATATTTTTCAATGATATTGTATATTTTGGATGTTATATTTTCATATAAAGAGATACAGATTAAATACCTGTTTAGTAACAATCAACCAGTTTGAATTGACACCTGCATTGTCATCTAAAATAAATGTTACTGTTAACCATATTAATATTGTCGAACCTTTATTTTGTGTTTTACAATTGGACCAATACATGTATTTTTAAAGGCTGCTTGATTGATCACAATGACATTCTGGCCAATGTTATCCCATTATTGAAGATCAACTGGGGCAATAAAACCCATCTTTGGAGTATTACTATCCCAATATATTCCCATACCTCGGGTTTAAATTGGTCCAATAGTATCCCTTTAATGGGATAAAAGTGGACCAATGTTATACCACTAATTGGGGATTACCTGGGGCAATAAAAACCCATGGTTGGGGTATTACTGTTCCAATATAATCCGTACATTGGGTTTCAGATGGCCCAGTATTAACCCACTATTGGGGTTCAACTGGGACAATTGAATCACATTTTTGGGATTTTTGTGGGTTGGTAAAATCCCATTAATGGGATAAATATGGGACGCGAAAACTCCATTCCTGGGTTAAAGTTGGTACACTAAAATCCCAATTTGCGGGTTTTTATTGGGTTTACTTGAACCCAATATTGGTTTTGGTAGCATTTTCCCAATTTGGGAAATTACAACCAAAACCCAAGAAAACCCCACAAATTTCCTGGGTTTTTCCCACTTTGGGAATCACCAAAAATTCCCTGTGATATGGGCCGGGGGGGCGAGGGGGGCTGCAGTCCCCCCAAATTTTGGGCAACTCAGATTTTTTGGGCAGCACGAGTAAATTTGGGCAAAGCCAGTTTTTAAAGACGTCTCCATGTTTTTATTATTATTATTTTGAAGAGATAAATATTTCCTATTTTAACCTGAAGTCGGCGTAATAATCCAGTTACATTGACAAGAGACAGTGTCTGCCTAGCACATGACGAATTTCGGGTTATAAAGGAAAGGTATCATATGCTGATTTTTTTTTTATTGTAGGGCACTGAACTGCAATGGGCTATTTCCAGCCGTGAATTGATTAGAATAAACTTCCGTCTAACTTTCTAGAATCATCTCCGCTCGTAGAACAGTGTATGGCAGATAGCATCAGCAATGGGTCTTAAAGTGAAGAAGTGGCTGACTAATTCTCAGTTTGAATTGCGAGAAGAATCTTGATTTTTTTATAAAGTCTATCGAGCGGTTTAAAAGTTATTCAATAATTTGCTAAAGTAGACTGAAATGTTTACAAAACCGCTAACAAGAGCGCCATGATACATACTAATCAAATCCTTCTTTGTAGCAATTGGCCGGAGCTGTCTCCATGATCTATCCCCCTCGTTTTTAAAAAGATTGAAGCTACTATGAGGTGAAATTGCATGTCAAAATCGCATCGTTTTCTACAGATAACGGCCAAACATCAAGATTTTCCTTTTTTTACCGTATTTCCAACGATAAAAACTTTATCCCAAAATATCTCGATAACGCTCTTACAGTAGCCTGCGAAAACATCTGTTTCTCCTTGCTCTTCGCCGATGGGGACGTTTTGCGCGGAGGAATGTCTGCGACTCAGCGACAGAAATTCCATACTGATGACGTAAAATCTGTCCGGAATCCGGTCAGAAGCGCTGATTGGTCGACGGAGTAGTTACATTGTTTTAGGTATTGTTTACGAATGACAGACAAAAGACAAAAGGCCACAAAGGTCAAATGTAAACGCGAAGAATCTCTAACAAAACAGTCAATATTTGTGGAATATAGTCTTCTCTAGAAGAAGCATTTGAGTTTTGCTGGAGCTCTTTGGCAGATGAACACAACACTTTACCAAAATCGACTAGAAGACACGTAAAATTGGACAAATTTATATTTAAAACCCCATGACTACTGGATTTGTTATGTAAACATTGGTTTGCGTCATCAGTATGGAATTTCTGCAGCTGAGTCACAGACGTTCCTCCTCGCGAAACGTCGCCATCGGCGAAGAGTGAGGAGAAACGGATGTTTTCGCAGGCTACTCTTACAGATTCCGTTTTAACTTCACGAACATCGAGGCGACCGTATTGGAGGAAAAAGCTCCTGTGATCGATTTTAGAAGAACAGTTCCCAGAGGGAAAAATTGCTGCAAGTATAATAGGTAATGGCTTCATTTCGTTGCTATAACAACTCCGATGTCATTGCAACCCTAATCACAACAAATTTTCATCTTTATCTAATACAACTGTGGTGGTAATTTTTCCAAATGTTTGTTTATGGTGACGAAGTTTATGCTCAAACTTGGCAGGTATTGACCCTGAAAAACTGTATGGAACCATTTTCATATGCCAGTGCGGCCTATGTTGTTGCATCGGCCCTCGTTTCTGTTCGACTGTTTTGTAAAAATTTGGGCAACTTGCAAAAATTTTTGGGCAAATGGTTTACCGCCCCCCCTGGCAAAAAATAGCCCGTACGCCTATGATTATCGCAAATGGAAGGATAAATTTAACTTTTGGGACTAAGTAAATCAAAACATGGATAATTGAAAAAAGATTAAGTGTCTTTATTTTTTTTAAAAAAAAATATTTACATAATTCTGCATTATAATTACGTATTAAATGTTCATATGAACATTCATGTTTTTATGCTATCAAGAGTATAATATTAAATTTGTGATGCTTAGTATTATAGAGAAAGAATTGAAATAATTGTGGACTAGCTTACTATTTATGTGGTGGTATATGATGTAAACATTCAATTGAGATAAATTACTAGAAAAGATCTGACATAAAGAGAAACTGAGCTGGTAAATGTATATTTTGAATTCAAAGTATATTGAAATAATATTTACATTTAAGTGATAGAGTTATTAAATAGGATTAGTTTTCTGTGTAACATTTTAGGGACCTGTCATTTATTAGAGGTGGCTGGAGGGCTGGTGCAAATGGGGGGAGGGGAGGGTCATTAAATTTTATGCAGCCCAAAAAGGGGAGGGTCAGTTAAAATTTAAGCTGGGCTTTGCGGGGAGGGCCATATCTTTTTTTGGCAAACATTGCTGTTCACTTAAAATAAAAATAAATAAACAAATAAAATATATTTTTAAACAAATAAGTCCCTTGCGGTGCAGTAAGCCTTTTAAACTTTAATAATGATCAACCTGAACAACCCAACAACCCTACACATATGTCAACTGTTGCATAGAAAGTGGTCGTTACATATCAAACAAAACATTTTATATCTAAACGTTCTTGAAGATTTTCTGTCAGAACCAACTAATCAACACATATTAAATGCTGGAACAGTATAAATTAATCCAGCTCACATTATACCCCTCAATGGAGCATCACAATATTTAAGGTTTAGTCACCACGCTCCTCATTCCCTGTCAAGCTGTCACTATCTTCCCCAGAGAGATTTTCATCTGTATCCAGTTCTTCCTCACTTTCTTCCATAAAACCTTCTTGATAGTCTTATGCTGTTGTAATGGCTCTTACTATCAAGTGACCATTCTTTGCCATTTTTGTCAGCCACCTGACCTGTCTAACTGAAAGGCGTGCAAGAGATTCTACATTCACATTGTCAATAACATCTGAATTTAAGTCTGCTGACAAAAGCTGATGAAGCAGTTTAAAATTTTTACTTTCTCCCTGTTGTTTCCTTCTTTGCTCTTCTCTTTGTTCTGTTTCTGTGATCTTTACCTTGATTTGTTTTTCAACAGTAACACACCACGAAACATGTCTTTGCATTGATCAAGTTTCTCATTAAGATATTTCAATTCACTGTTTACTCTTTTTTTAGCTTCATCTTGCCTTGTATTAACATCTTCATCAAACAATTTAGAATACTCTTCTCCTTGTATCAAATTACCAGTCTTTGAGTGAAAGAGGGTGTTGAGTTGAGCTTTAATGCGTCTATCCAATTCCTCTCGCGTTCCTACCTATACAAGGTCAGGGAGGAAACCAACACACTTTCTGTTACAAACTGCAGAAGATCAAAGTTGATCTCGTCTATTAATAATCCCTGTCAAATCTTTTAGTGTGGGGAGGGACGGGACTTTTTTGGGCCACACAAGGGGGAGGGTTACAGTTTTTTTGTAGGAAATTGGGGAAGGGCAGAAAAAAATTCACCTGGGAAAAAACATTGTATCAGCCTCCCCTAATAAATGACAGGTTCCTTATATGTATACGTGAGTAGAAGTGTATGGGGTTTAGTTGAGTTACAGTATGCCTTTGTAAGTTTGGGGATGTATGGGTTGTGGTATTTGTGTAGAATGTTGTTGGCCAGTTTCTCTGTTCTTTTGTCTTTATTGTATAAAGTCTTGTAGTAAACAGTGGGTCCGGTGATGTCATCAGTTTGTTTGTTTTGGAGACGTCGTTGGTGAGCAGTACGTGTAATCCATGGAAATGAATGTTCAGTGATCAATATTATTGTCTAGGGTGGTCCAAAGCAGTTAGCAGGGAGCTTTAGCCACGACAATGGCGACAGCAACGAGAACTTAAAAAAAGCAATAGGCTTATTAAGTAAAACAGCAAATTTGCACATGCATCATGCTTTTTGGTACATTTTTTTGCTGTCACTGCATGACTATGACATGAAAATGCCTAATTGCAAGTTTTATGGAGGACGTAAACAAGCGATGACAAATCTTTGTTTCTCTTTCTAAACTTGAGTGAGGTCTTCAAGAATTCAACTCCATGGAAATTTGCCTACATTTGACATTTTCAGCGAATTAGAATAAACATGACAAAGTTTGAAGAAACGCGAATTCATTTTAAAACTGACGTTTTTGGTGCCGTCACCGTTGTCGATGCTAAAGCTCCTCAGACTGAATGTGAAATTGTGGTGAATGAAATTGAAGTTGTCTATTGTAGCTGACAGTCTACTGTATTGTATTGCCAGGGTTCGCACAGTCTTGAAAAGTCCTTGAATTTTAGGGGAAGTCCTTGAAAAGTCCTTAAATTTCTGTGCAAGTCCTTGAAAAGAGCTTGAATTTTCTTCAACTTTGAATGTAGTAGCCTGGAAAGAATTTTTTGATGCTTTTTGGTTGTCCAAGACAGAATATAAATCGTAGCTCAGTGAATGTAAAGGTCATTTACATAAAGTGCTCCATGTTTTATGCAATAATTAATTATCAGTTTAAGACAAGTGAACTGAAAAATGTAGAGAATTTGGTGAAGCAAACAGTTAAAGCCTTAAAGTCTTATTAGAATATACTGGGAATATGCATTTTTGTACAATCTGTGAAATTATATTCCTAGTAGGTTGTCCTTGAAAATCTAATGTGGACCTTGAAAAATGGTTGCAATTTTTTGTATGAACCCTGATTGCTTCAGTTTTTATGGTGCCAGAGAAAATGTGATGGGGGTGGTTTGAAGAAAAATGAGGGTACATGTACTTATGGTGTGGTTTCTGGTAAATCTGGTAGTGGACTATATGGTATCTGATGGTGAAATGGTTGAGTGACAAGGAGAGATCCAGGTAATGAGTGGTATGGTGATTTGGCGTGAAAGTGATAGGTATTTGTGGTGGGTATGAGGTGTAGAGGTTAGAAATAATGTTAGGTAAATTAGCTTTGCTGGTTAGCATAAAACCATCATCTATGTAATGGCAGAAAATAATCAAAGTGTCTGTTAGTAAAATCTATATTAAGATATTTAGAATTTAAAGCTCATAAAGAAATACTATTCAAATTTTTTCTTTGCCAGTTTTTTTCTGCTTGCGTCTATGTTATCCCTTTGACGAAATAATTTTATTTTTGAAAAGTCTACTTATTTTCCTGTAATTCCTGATAATTCACAGGATTTTTGAGGTCATGACTCTGGTCATTCTGTTGTTTTCTATGAAATAATTTTGTGACATCATAGATAACGTTTCATCTTTTACATGTTACAGATCATGCCCATCTGCCCAGTTGAATAAAAAGACAAAAAAAAAAACTTAGAATACATTATTTTTATAGTTGTATGTAACGTACAAAAGGAATGTTTACTTACGCACTATTATAGAATTACTGACAATTTAGTATTGCTTTTGAACGATATTATTGTGAAATTGATCTATGGACCGAATTTGTAACTTGAGCGGCTTAGAGGAAGCATGTAAATCTTCATGAATGAACGATGAAACTATCGATTTGCATAAAATCAACATGTATGAATCGAATATATACAAGTGATTTATATCAGAATCACTGAAAATTAGATATTACTGATAATTTGAATGATACTGTAGTAAAATTGTTCTTTAGCATGAAAATTTGGTTGACAAGTACGCTTGTGTATATTTTGGAAAACTGCCCTGAAAAATGGGTAAATATGTAATGGTAGATTTATTATGCACACAACCGAAATTAGTCATGATGTCTTATTGATATGTTGTCATTAACAACTGGATTGTTTCTTTGCCTCCATATATGGAAAATGGTTCCCTTGGGAGTTTACAGATGGACACATGCTCTTAAGGGGGCAAACCTCCATGGTTGGCTCACTGGGTATGTGGCACTCTACATGGTATAGGTTTATGGGACCTTCAGTCTTAAAAAAAGTATTCAATTTCACTATTTAGCGTCTTTAGCGGGTTACAATTTTAATTCATTTTGCTTTAAATAGGGTCAGAATCAAAGAGTTTCAGCCCCAACCAAACTTCCTTTAAATCTTCCCCCTGGAGAAGTTTCTTCCCTTGTTCATAAACATAACTCGGCAAAACCGGCTTCACCAGTGTTTTTCCAAGTTAAAAATGCTATTTAGTAGGACAGTTAGTATTGTTAAAAAGAGAAAATTCGCTTAATAGTGTGAGAGCACAAGTCCCACAATTTGTCGGCTGTGGTAACTATCCATAGCGACCCCCTGATAGCTGATAGGAGCTATCACCAGCAATAAAAGAGTTAGTTTTTATTGAGTTTAAGTAAATAGTCCCCATAAAAGTTTGGCAAATTAAGCAGTTTGCAGCTCATGGTTCGAGTAGTGTCATGGTATGATATGTTGGTGTAAAGGGATGTGAAGTCAAAAGTTGTGAGACACAAGTTGTACATGTTGGTAACATGTAGTTTGTCTAACATAAGCAGTAAGTCATATGAGTTGTAAATTAAAGGGTATGGTATGTTTCATTCTTCAAAATGTTTTTCAGTTGCAAAATAATTCTGTCCAGTTTTGTTCCCTGTAGACATGAAGGGTTTGATGTGATCCAACTGTGGGCAGTGATAATCAGTCTTTCAGTTAGTTTGGTCAGGTTGTTATTTATGTGAGGTGGCTTTGTCAAATTTATATACTTTGAGTAGTAGTTTCATGTAAGGCAGTTGTAGTTTGTCTTGTGGGTAGGGTCCAGCAGTCGTAAGTCATCATGATTTGTGATAATAGTTGAAAACCGTTTTTTGAGTTGGCCGAGTAGTGTGTGGGAGTCTGTGATGGTTGTGTACAGTTAAAGTTGTCAATGCGCCTGTATGTTGAAAGATCAGAGAAATGAGATTTGTATTCGGTGGAAAACCATGAGGTGGGCACTAGGGCCCAGCCCACGTTTTGTCAGTCACTGTAAGTTTATAAGGTCATTGTCGTTCTGTATGTCTGTATTGTCAGATGTGGTGGGTGGGTAGATGTCAGATAAATTAGGATAAATAATAGAACATTATTTTACAGGTTGTAAAAATTCTATAGTGAATGAAACAGTGTTGTGAACATAGTCAATGAGGTGAAGGTTGAAGTGGGGTCTCGATTTTAGAGATTTTAGAGCCGCAACGTAATATAATAAACATTCTGTACAAAATAGTTATTCAATTCATTTGTAAAGACTCTAAACCAAAACAAAAAATAAAGACCGCCATAATGAAATGCAATTTTTTGACCATGTTTGAAAAAAATAGGAGCAAAAAATCCCTCACAACCTAACCTCTGATTTTTCTTTCGCTCGCTCTCTTTTTCTTTCGCGTTCCACTATCTGAACGCCTGAAATAGCCTACATTAGCTCATACAGATAGATATAGCCTACATAAGCGAACCTCATACCTGTGGGCCCAACTGTATACGTAGTTGAGATTTTGATTGACAAGTTTCTCGGTCATGTGAGCGCAATCGACTATTACTTCGGTCTTTGAACCATCAGAGTGTGATGCCAAGCGGGAGTGAATTGCTGTAAATAAACCTGTTGCGTTAAACTCGGTGACTTGTGACCTTGTTGGGGAAACTAAACTGTTATCACTACTGGAGGCATTCCTGGCATACCTGCTCAATTTATGACAGTTTAATATAGTGCCAATGTGTTAAACAGTATTGCAAGAAAAGAAATTAGTATTAAAATGCCTTACTGATTCAGATTTTCACTAAAATACTAGTGGATTTGGGATTTTAAAAAAATTGGGCGTCTTTCGACTTCTGGACTTGGGTCAAGTGACTGATCTCAACTTCAATTTCCGATTCCCAAATTAACTTTACACGTGCTCCTCCTTCGAGTCCTCTCACGTGCGTACCTGGCAAGTACAAAGTTTAATCTCATCTTGAGGTCCTTGTTGACAACATTCCTTTCAAACTTAATATTGAAACTTGCTAGAAATGAAACTTTTCACCTTTTTTGCAAACATGACATGTGCTGCTAATAACTGAGCCAAACTTAGCTCGTTTTTGCTCGCCCGCAACAATTTATGCACGCAACTGCCGGTTTTAACTTGTACATCGGAAAAGTACATGCGAACGTGCTTACAAGATGTGAAATCCTGTACTGTGAAATAGTGGCATCTAATACGGGAAGTAGTTTGAACTTTTAACCTAGCATTAAATAACCTTTAGTGATCGTAATGTGCTTATTTTGGCAGCCAAATATTTTTGTCAGTTATTGTCTTTAAAACCAAGCAAGTAAGCCTCAGGGACACCCAACGAGAATATAGCTCAATACTACTTAAACATAGCATTGTTGAACGTATTTTAGTATTTAAACGGTAGATATAGGCATATTTTATTATCCCCATTGAAATATGTTTCATCTGTTCGGATTTCGTAGCTGAAAGTCTAGTGATGCGAAAATTATAGGGATCAAAACTTACCAATTCGAAAATTTCAGCCCGAAAAAAGGCTCCCGAAAACTCTAGGTCACCTTTCTAGGGTAAAAATCGGTTAAAAATGGGCAATTATACCATTTTTTAGATGTTCGGAAATCCTAGGAGAGGCAGGAAAGCAAGAAATTTTACAACAAATGTCCGAAAATTCTAGATCTCATTAAAGTCGGAAAGTTGAAACGATTCAAGAAAGTTTCAAGTGACTTGAAAACCATCCTTAAAACCGAGTTTATCGAACTTGCGGTTTCTTGAACTTTGAGAAAGGCGAAGCATGTCAATCAATGTTTACTTAATTATGTTTCGTGGGAAAATAGGCTTACGTAAACCTCAAGTAAAAAAGACAGGTTGTGTGTGAAGCTTCCTTTTACTTCAAGAATTTAAAATTTACTTGTCTTGAAATATTTTTTAGCTTATTTAGGCTCCAGTGTAAAGACTACCAGTGATACTGCTGCGTGACGTCCACGGCCAATCGATCACCGAATGGAATATAATGACGTACGTTAACTTACGCTCCGCCCTAGCGGTTCCAATTTCCACGTTCCATTATTTCTAATAGAATTCCTCTAAATGCAAGCATCTGTAGCCCATGAGCGAGAAATCGAGAGGCATACAACATGGAAGGTCTTAAAGATTTGCTTGCTCCTAAAACACTCCACTGGCTAAGTTATGTGGCAAATGTATTTTGGATTTTGCTCGGAATTATCCTATCAGCAATCTTTCTAGACATTGAAAACAGCGAACCAAGATTTGACTTTCGTTGTGGCTCAAATGGCGACAAGGAACTCATTCGTGGAAAGTGTTACGAACAGTACGATAAACAATACAACAAATTCCCTGTTTATGGATTCGTGATTATTAACTTTCTTGTAACTGCAAGTGTTTGTGGAATATACTCACAAGCGGTGAAGTCGAAAGTTGAGGAACTTGAAAACAGCACTGTCAACACTAGAAACGAGGATGATGATGCAGAAGGGCAAACTCCCCGGAAAAAGCTATTTAAAGCGTACAGTTTGCAACTTCTTGCCAGATTTGTTCTCGGGATTTCTTTTGTCCTCCTGCAGACCAAATTACTTTATCCTCTCAGCTTTCCCTCGAACTTCAATTGTAACTTAACGAGAGACGAGAAGTTTTCAGAGATCACGGCTAGTGGGTCTCGCAACGGAACACAAATGCAAACGTCATACGAATGTCATAATCAACGAGCAGCTAAGAAGACCTTCTGGCATGATGCCGTGATCGTTTTAACCGGAACGTTTGCGTTTTTTGTGTTTATCGAGTCTCTCTTTATGTTATTACGTGCAAGAAATGTAAAAGACTTTATGGAAGACCCGAACTTTCATAAATATTATCTGAATTCGAATCAGCAGTTAAATGCCCCTCCGGCAGAACCCGAAGAGTTAAGCGCCATCATCGATTATGACAGTCACACCAATCCACCATCTACCTCTCCAACTGACAACGATTCCCGGTCAGAACAGCAACAACAAGAGTTTAACAAGGAAGACCCGAACTTTCATAAATATTATCTGAGTTCGAATCAGCAGTTAAATGCCCCTCCGGCAGAATCCGAAGAGTTAAACGCCATCATCGATTATGACAGTCTCACCAAAAATCCACCATCTACCTCTCCAATTGACAACAAACCCCAGTCAGAACAACAACAGCAAGAGTTTAACAGTCCATCAGTAGCCACTTTCATCGAACGTATGAAGGAACATGTCCGGAGTGTCACCGGAAAAGCCTACACAGATCCTGCTGCACCTTTCCATTACAATCCGGGTGAAGGCTCAAAAAGAGATCTAAAGCTTGACCACATCTACACCGATTTGATTATTCATGAAAACAGAGCTTTGTATGAATTTAGTGCAGATAGAGAGGAACAACTGAAAGAATACCACAGACCCAGAGAAGAGTCACGATCAACACGGCCGGGAGATATTTTTGATGCTGATAAACGGAATATTCTTGTTGTCGGTCGTCCTGGAATTGGAAAAACTATGTTTTGCACAAAGATTCTGCGCAATTGGGCATCCGATTACTTGCTCAGTGATGCACAGAAATCTGAAATGGATTTGAAACTCGCTTTCCTCTTTAAGTTTAGGAAGTTTAACTACACAAACGAAAAAGTCAGTCTTCGCAAATTCCTGGACGCATCGGAGTATTCTAAACTACCTCTATCCGATGAAGTTTGGCACTACATTATTGACAACCCAGACAAAGTACTCGTTATATTTGATGGATTTGACGAATATTCTGGAAAGGCTAAAATCAATGTTGATGACATTTCGATCAATAACAATGTAGAAGACTCGATGCCTCTTCATTCCCTGTACAAGAAGATATTATCAGGAAAAATCCTTCCCGGTGCTACAGTCTTAACGACCACAAGACCAACCGCCGTGTCATTCTTTGAAGCACCTATTGCCTTTGAAAGAATAGTTGAAATTCTGGGATTCAACTCTGATAAAGTGGAAGAGTACGTGGACAAATTCACAAAAGAGAAAGGCGATGATGGCAAAGGAGAAACCATAAAGCAACACATCAGAAGTAGCCTTAACCTCCAATCCTTCTGCTACATTCCTGTGAATTGCTTCATCATTTGTTCCTGCTTGTTGCACTTGCTGAACTCACCCGTCTCCGGCTGCCTTCCTACAAGACTAACCGAACTATATTCCATAGCCATCAAGATTTTTTACTTTTGTCACGATGATATCCAAAGCCGTTACCCATCACATGAAGCTCAACAGTTTTATTTAAAGCCATTTAATGCATTACCAGAACATGTGCAAAAATTGTTTAAGAGACTGGGAGAAATTGCTTTTCAAGGAATCAAAGAAGGAAGACTCATTTTCGAATCAGGCGAAGTCGATGACCAAGAAAACAATGGTTTGTTCCACCGTTTACCTGATAGTTTTAGCGGTTTAGCGGAAGGACGAGCACAATATTGTTTTTTACACTTGACGATGCAGGAGTTCTTAGCGGCGAAGTATTTGGTGGACACGTACAGTTCCGAAGACCTGCAGAAGTTTGTTTCCGATCACATCCAGGATGGCGCGTGGAAGGTTGTGATGCAGTTTGTGGCTGGACTGCTGGCTGAAAAAGAAGGACAATCAACAGATATTTTCAGCGACCTTCTTCCCTCAGAAACTGTTACTAATGAAGTTGAAATCAAGATGAATGAAGATTCAGAGGAACGAACTGAAACACTGACCTGTTGGCCAGCTGACGATGAACGCAGGTTATTAGTGGTGACGCTATTCAATTGCATGTATGAGAACAAAGCCTCTGATCGAAAAGTTCAAAAGAAACTGGCGAAAATTGGTTGCAATGCGCTTGATTTTATTGGCTGTAACCTGTCACCTCTCGACTGTTTAGCATTAGTGCATGCACTTAAATCTGTTGAAGGAATTTTGTATTTTGATTTAAGGCTCAACAACCTTCAGTCGCTAGGATGTATTGAGATTGCGAAGTTGTTACCTGGCAACCAACGCAATCAGGGTTTTTGCGAACTAAAAAGATTAGAACTCTGGGAGAACAACATAACTGATGAAGGAGTAAAACATTTATCCACAGCACTCACAAACACTAACTGCACACTAAACAGCTTAAACCTCGGGGATAACAACATAACTGATGAAGGAGTAAAACATTTAGCTACAGCACTCACAAACACTAACTGCACACTAAACAGCTTAAACCTCGAGTATAACAACATAACTGATAAAGGTAAAAATCTCGTAAAGTCAATGAACATAAGCTGTAAAGTAATTTCTAACTTTTCTAAAAGGTAAATGTTTCCCTGTTGAAGGAATTTTGGATTTTGATTTAAGCTTCAACAACTTTCAGTCGCTAGGATGTATTGAGATTACGAAGTTGTTACCTGGCAAGCAACACAATCAGGGTTTTTGCGAACTAAAAAGATTAAACCTCGCTTTTAATCAGATAACTGATTAACACCACACTAACTACAAACTAAACAACTTCAAGCTAAATCAATATTGCTTTTTCTAAACTTAAAGCTCAATAAGATAACTGATGAATGTATAAAACGCTTCACTGGCAGCACTGCACTCACACATACTAACTGCAAAAGAAACAGAGCTTAGACCTTAGAGCTAACAAAATAACCCAGCAAGGGAAAAATCTCTCAAAAACAGGGAAAATAAACTATAAAGTATTTATCTAAGCATGTGTAAATATATTTTTCTGAACAGCAATAAGTTGAGCTACATTCTTTGACATTATATTTTCCATTTTTTAAAAAGAAGTTAAGTTTTTTCAGTTCGTCAATCAGGTAACTTCTAAGCAATCTCGAAGTTGTTATGTTTTCATTTATATATTGTTTTGTTTTGGTTTTTTTTGTTGTTTCATAATAATAGAGTGGGTTTTTGTGAGAAGAGAAAATTTGTTTGGTCATTGCTATATCTTTACATAGAAACAGGGTGTGATTTGAACAAACCAAAAAAACTAAAAGCTAAAAAGGTTTAGAATAGATTACAGTTTACTAACTCCTAAAAAATCTCCACTTATCGTGAAGCCTAGCGTTAATAACAATGTGTATTAATGACCCATAATGAAGACTGAAACAAATTAATGGACATTTACATTTAACCTAGATAACTAAACATACAGCTACATATGAAGAAATTTTCCTATAGGAATGTAATTAGTATAATGATTGTGATAATGCTCTACTGATTCACAGTTAGCGTCACCTAAGAATTATTATTTGCAGTCATTGCTATCTGAAAGTGACTGATACATCATGTTTAGCTTTCCTGCAAGTATTCATCCTTGTATATAAGTTTGGTTTTTGATATGATTAAAGTTCTGTTTGACCAATGTTATAAGTGTCGGCCTGGCCTCCCTCCTTATTTAATCAATCTGTTCATCCAGCAAAATGCAGGGCAAACTGCTTTTGGGACAGAAAAAGCAGAGATGGATCTAGCAAAGGGATGGTGCGGGGAGACGGAGTGGGGGGGGGTATGTATTCCCTTTTAGCAAACAGATACTTTATCTTGGGCTCAGATGTCAAACTTTGTATGTAAACCGTAACGGATTCAGACCCGCTTAAGGTGGTTTTGAGGTGGAGCGGTTGTTTTATGCCCAAAATGACTTGAAGTGTCTCAGCGCTTCGGTTTTGGTCATGGGAAGGGCCTCCTTATTTGTTGAGGTTAAAAACCGTTTTTTTCTGACCAAGTAACAAGATATCCTGCCCTCAATAGATTGAAAGCAGTTGCCTTACCGGCAGTCAGAAGGCTGATTTCACCAACTCACCTTCAGAAACTGTAAACTTCAGCCACCGCTTTTTTTGACTTAATGGGTGCCAGCTTACACACCTACTAACATAAGACGTAACAATTAAGCGGAAATCCAAGATTCCCGGTAAAGCGAAACTAGCACCAGGGTACTGTTCAAAAAACGCATGATCTTGTCCTTTGGGCAAGGGTTGGCGGGGGGGCGGGAGGCACACTTAAAAGAAGTTTGGGTGCGGGTGTACCGCTGAGTCCTTCAAACCCTGAACATGTTGAAGACAAAATGATCCTTTCTTTTCGCTTCCCTGTTTTCGTGACCCAGTCTCCTTCTCGTCAGTTCTCTTTGTCGTCACGCAACGCTCTTTCTGTTTTGGGGGAGGACGTAAACACGATAGAAGCTTCTTAAGGAGTAGCCTCACTGGCAGACGTTCTTAGGATTTCCTTAAGTCAGCGTGGGAGGCCGCTACCGTTAGGAGCTAAAGATCGTCCTTGAATCCTTGAGGAACTTACATCTGGGATAACAATATCTTCCTTAGAGAGAAGGATTTACAATTAAGATGGCGTTGATCTTCTTTGACACACAGAGAGGGTTTGGCTCTGATAGAAGAAAATCTCAAAACTGGTACCCTGAGAAATAAAAAAGCCTACATTTCCCGACGCCACAACTGTTTCCCTTCCCTGTCCGACATGACCCGTTCAAAGAACAAGCCCAGAAATTCCATACTGATGATGTGTCACCCAGATCTGAGTAGTGCTTTTGTTTAGTTGAAAATTTGCTACATCCAAGTTTATCTTTTTACGACATTTTGACATTTCGTGCGGCTCGCCTTTGTACACGCTCGATCGAGTATTGGTTTGGGGACCACACTTGAGTCGCGTGCCTCGCCTGGGACTTCACCAGAAACAGGTAGAGCGTCCGCCTCACATTGATGTCCGTTATGAGAGGACAGGCCCACTTCAGAGGTCCAAGGAGCTTGTTGGCCTTGGAGACGATAGTATCCATGATGTGCGTGTCCCAAGAGAGGGAAATAGAGATGGTGACTCTGAGATCTTTGATCATTATACGTTTCTGGGAAACTGCCCACCTACCCCTCCCCTAAGCCAACATTCCTACTTACTTCTCACTTAGGGCAAAATTTTGGCTTAGGGGATGGGTAGGTGGGAGGTGCGCGTCCACAAGGTTATAACTGTATATCACGTGGTTCGTCTTCCGCCTAACACTTAGTGCTTTTCATTTCAAAGCATTAAAGCTGAATAAAGACTTTTGAATGTAGAGGTCCACTCAACGAACTGTTGCTTTATTTTAGGAGCCGTTAATTATAGTATTTTCTTTCGAGAAAGGCGAGTTAGTACCCGAAATATTGTGCCCAAATATATCAGCCCTTTTGCCGTGCATTGTCAGCCTTGCATTCAGTTTTTTTCTATTAAAGCTAATCTTGTCTTTACTCCATTCGCCCCAGTTCGAGAGAGTGACAAAGAAATAAAATGCAAATACCGTGGACGAAGATCCTGCTGGTTGTCAACGTTGGCACAAGAAAAGAGGTCTAGTCGGCTTAAAATTTCAGTTGTCTTTAGACTTCTCGTTGTTTTTAGTCATAACCTTGCCTTTGGAGGCATTCGGGAGATCATTAATAATTCTTCTAAACAGTAGTGGACCAAGGAGACTTCCCTGCGAAACGCCAGAGATAACAGGGGCCCATTGCGAGGCTGCCCCATCAGCCCCAACACGTTGGACCCACCAACTCAGGTAGTTTTTGAACCAGAACTGGATCAAGGATAAAGCGGTTCACCTCAACCCAAGGGGCGTCTTAGACTGCAAAACAGTCGGTTTTTTTCTCAAAATCAGTAAAGAAATCGGTAAAGCGTAGCGTAAGAGTCTTACGCGCGCGAAGCGCGCGAGCCTCACGCCCGTAGGGCGTTTGAGGCGAGAGAAAAAAAAATTAGCGTCTCTCCCCAGTCTCGCTCTCTGTTTTCAGCCTCATTCCAGACCTTTTGTTTGACTGCTCGCGCGTACTTGAATACGCAAAAATACGGACTGTTTTGCAGTCTAGGGGTAGCCTGTGAACAGGCTCTCTGTTTGGGGAAAAATAGCGAGGAAAGAGAAGGGAAAGGGGGGAGAGAGCCTGTAGACAAACATTTGAGGCCGCTATTCCGCCTCTTGTAATTATCCTGCCGATCATCTGTCAGTAAGATCGTTATCGGTCAATCAATTTCGCGCGTGAGTAACTCCTGGGAAAATTAACAGGAAATGAGTGGTGTTTTGCTCCGTCTGAAAACAGAGTGAAATGGAGCATGAACGTCATTGTTGATTTTGCAAAAAGTAGCCTGTGATCTCCGGTAAGAGGATTTAAAACAAGCCGTTCGTCTTGCTAGTTCGGTTTGTAATTTAACAAGCCGCTGCAATGAGCGAACTTGGAATGCGGAAGGTACAGATACTATCATGACTTCTCCAGAAAGTGAAGCTTCGAAGATAAGTACAAAGAGATCAGCAGCGCTTCTATCGCCGACAGGAATTACATGGTAGGCCGACACGACTTTTACTTTATGCCAAAATGCTGCTTGTTCCCATAAGTTTTTTCCTCTGCGGGGTAGATTATTCTCTGGAAGGTTCTACATTTTCACTGAGCAAATGTGATTTTAGCCGCTTGTTTCACACTGAGAGATCGTGGCACACATATCGATTTACTGTGGTTTTTGTTTCTGGTCGACAGGATTTGTCCTCTGATGCAAGAGCATTTTCTTTTTTTGCGGCTGAATAAGGGTCTTACTTTTCTCCAAAGTGCCCTCTCGATATGAATAACTAAGCGATTTTCTTTAGTCCGTGAATGTAATGATTTTCTGCAATGTTGTATTCTGACGCTGGGCCCAGCTCGTCAGTGTTTAAAAATTATCACGGATGGTTATTTACAGATCCAAAATTATAAGATTGAAATGCAGCTTAAACCGAAGCTACATCAGCTATGGAGAATTGCATTGTGCTTCGTTAACTATAAACTCCAGCTTAGTGTTTTTGTAAAGACAGTTTGAGTCTTTTGACCGGAGCGCGTAGTTCCTCCCCGTAGTCTTTGGACTGTTTTGTTAATTGCCACTCTGTGATCAAATCGCGTGCTACGTGCCGACCGAAAAGCCGATGTCAATCAGACCTGTCAACAGTCAGTGTTCTCGCCAATAGGAGCTTGCATCAGGATCTGATGCACAGCGGGTGCCGTGGAACGGCGGCCCCAAAGGTCTGTCCACAGGCCTTTTCGCTTTTCCCTCTCCCCACGCCGCTCGACTAAAGGCCTGTTCACAGGCTATCTAGGGGCGTCTCGGCCACATTCCTTTCATAAGAGCTAAAAATGGCTTAGAGGCAGAAATCTTTTCATGCTTTCATCTTTTGTCGATTGTCTTAACCTAGGCATAGGTCGCACTTGGGAAAAGTTTTCATCTTTTTGCCGGCTAAAAAACCACGAAAATTAGAAACCGCAACCGGAAAAGAAAACTTTTAGTCAAATCGAGGAGGGTCGCACTAGTATTTACTAGTGGGAGTCGTTGTTTTGACACATTGAGAACTAAAGTAGGCCAGATACCAGAGAACATTATCTCTTCGTGGTCCGATCATTTGGCGTAGGATCGTTTTCCTCCTTTCCCAGTGTCAGGAGGATGGGAGAAATATAGAAAATAAAGTGCTTGGCTGCAAAGACTGCATTTAGATCGGAGAATAACAAACCTGTGACGGTACTTGCCTGGGTAGACTATAATTGGCTCGCCTGTAGAGAGTTCCCGTAAAAACGTTGAAATAGCGAAGGATTACAAGCTTATGAATTGCTCGCCCGTAGAAAGTTTTCGCAAAAACGTTAAAATGGCGAAAAGTAGTGGTAGCCTCGTCCGTCGACAACGAAAACGCGAACGTCAGAAAATTTCTACGATTGTTTCAACTTGATCGTGTTTCAAATTGGTCACGTTTCGCTGACAAGTGCTGACACTTACCGCCGTGATTCCTATTGTTTAGCTCGAGTTTTCCAAAATCTGTCTGCCCCACCCAAGCAATACGGCGTCTTTGATGTTTTTTGCGATTTTCAAAGTTTTTTCTACCCTGGGTGCCAGAGACTTTTCTAGCGCGGTTTCCGGTTTCTGTCATAAGATGTGTCGGCCTTCGGCCAACACCGAAAATTCCCGCCGCATGCGAGAAAAACCTCTGGTAGCCAGGGTAAGTTTTTTCCAACTTGAAAACTTGGGGTCGCACTTGGCAATGTGCCCCGATGACACATTTTTACCGCAAGGTAAACAAATTCTTCCAGAAATTTGCCAAGTGCGACCCATGCCCTATAAACCGAGCTCGCTTTTTCATTTCTGTCAGCCTTTCCTGGCCTAATCTTCATCGGGGAACAGTGAAAAAAATTAAAGAGATAGAAAGTTCTTTGGCCTGACACCTACCTGCGCAAAAATAACAATTGTTAATTAATATTTACAACTTTCAGATTCCCCCGTTTTAGTTGATATCGCAAATATCACACGGTGGCAGAATTTGTTTGATTTCCGGGAAGGTAATAGAAATTACTAGTTGTCAATGTATGATTAAAGCTCGTTCGAGCTAGGATGGAATGCTTAATCTCGATTAATCTCTTTCCCTTGGAAACTTGACGCAAAGATTCACCCCTACGGCGATTTTCAAATTTGCCACAAACTAAAAATAAGAGGTTGGTTTCGTTAATATCATGTTTTGGATGAGGTTGTAACGTGCGTGACCGTAAGGGCGGATTTCCACTGTCGCGTAATTTTTACGTGCGTACGGGCGTAAAATTTACCTGCGTAAAACAGAAAGGCTACGACCAGTTTATACGCATTTCTAATATTGCCGAACATTCGAGATACGAAAACTTTGCCCTGACACGAATGTTCTATAGCTACAAACATTGTTTTTGTGATTCAAATATACCAAGCAGCCATGGTTGACAAAATCGGAATCATTTTCCTCGTTCCATTATTTCCAATAGGATGCAAAGGCTAAATATACAAGCATTAGTTCTTCAGCAAGAAAACTTGAGACATACATGCAAGATCTAAAAGCTTTTGTCGATTGTGCAACAGAAACTGAACTGAGCTCGCTTTTTTCCGTTTCTCTCAGCCTGTCGTGGCCCAGCCTCCATCACGGAACAATAAACTGACAAGACAATTAAAGGGATAGGAAGTCAGTAACTTTGTCCTGTGACACGTACGCAAAAATAGCAACAGTTAATGTTCACAACAACTTATAGACCAAATATTTCACTTTCACAATCAATCATAGACAACATAGGCTCACCAAATTTCTTTACTCGCTTTCCCCCGTTTGTGACAGTATAGCAAAAGAGAGTAGACTTACGACATGGAAGGTCTTAAAGATTTGCTTGCTCCTAAAACACTCCACTGGTTCAGTTATGTAAGAAATGTATGTTGGATTTTGCTCGGAATTATCTTATCAGCAGTCTTCTAGACATTGAAAACAGCGAACAGAGTAGTTCTGATTTTCGCTGTAACTCAGATAGAGACAATGATATAAACTCTTTGGTGGGTCGACAACGATAAACTTATTGGTGGAAAGTGTTACAAACAATATCAAAAACAATACAACCGAAATTCGGTATCCCAATGTATGGATTCGTGATTATTAACTCTTTTGTTACTGCAAGTGTTTGTGGAATTAAATCAGAATTTGTGAAGTCGAGAGTTAAGGAACTTGAAGATAACTCTAGAAACGCGGCGGATCGTGATGTAGAAGGGCGGATTCCCCGGAAAAAGCTTTTCAAAGCGTACTGTTTGCAACTTTTTGCCAGATTTGTTCTTGGAATATTTTCTCTCGTCCAGCATACCAAATTACTTTATCCTCTTAGCTTGCCCTCGAACTTTAATTGCACCCTAACATTCTTTCGACTGTTTGATGTGGACCAATACTTTACTTCCCTTTTACACAGGCCACAAAAAAAGAGCCGTAGATTCATAACAAGCATTAAGACAAAAATTTCCTGCTAGGTACAGTTTTCCTTTTTCCTGACCAAATCGTAATGCAGTGTTATGTTGGACGAAACGCTGATGTTTTTGCATTTCGTGACTTAAAACGTGCAGGAAAATCTCTCCATTTTGGGGGTTTTACTACTTGACATAATCAAGGTTTTGACTTAAAAACGCGATTACATTACAAGGATAAGGAAAAAAAATCAAGTCTCGAACAATCTAACAATAGTGATGAAAACGATGACTTTCTGTCACGCAGTTTAAAAAAACAACCTTTACAGTTGAATACGTTCTGGTTGCTTTGATTGGATAAGGCCGGGATTCAAATCAGCAAATACAGACTTCAAAAGATTTCCGTGACAACGGACCCTTGCATACTTTACAAGCGAAGTTTGCCCAAAGAGTGATAAAAGCCCCTAATAAACACAGTTTGGCGCGTTAATGTACAGTAAAACAGGCAAAAAAAAAAACATGCAACTTGTCTTGCAACATTACTCAGATTGCTGCAAAACGAATTGGATAGCGATGTTGTACGTTTGACCGACACCCACATCAAATCTGTCTCGCAACAAATCAGGTTGTTAACAGGTTTGATCGAGGGTGGTATAATGCGCAACATCGCTTTTAAACTCGTTTGGCAGCAATATTACATAACTACAAGTTGTACGTTTTTGCTGTCCGTTTTATCGAAGCTTAACGGCTCTCAGCAGTAACTCAGTACGCTTTCCAGCGCTTAAGGGCCAAAGTCCTAGAGAGTTCAAGACAGACACATTAACGGCACCTTTCCAAGCCTTTCTAGCCTTGGCGCATGGTAGGTGTCGAAAGAGGCAGGGGATGGAGGGGAAAAGAGAAGGGGTTCACTCCCTTTCGGCTTCTTTTTCTCCCCACTCCATCTCTCCTTGTTGGGCTCACCACGCAGGCTTCGATATTCTGTCCATGTGCTGCCCTTCGCCTGCACACGTGCACGCCTGGCAAATACAAAGTTTAGCCTCATCCACCTCATCCAAATTGCTTTCATATTAGAACTGTCAGCAGATGGAAGTTTCTAGAAACGTTTTCAGCTTTTGTCGGGAAGATGCCATTTGCCGCTGATAACTGAGCTCGCTTTTGCTCGCCTTCAACAATTTTTACTGGTGACTGCCGGTTTTTAACTTCTACAATGGAAAAGTGGAAAAGTACAAACGAACGTGCTTACAAGATGAGAAATATTGTGAAACGGTGGCATTTGATACAGGAAATAGTTTGACCTTTAAATCTCTACACTTTTGTAGAGCTAGGATATATTTTTAAGCCAACGTGAGTGACATGTTTGTATTTAATCAGTTAAAAGTTAAATTTGTCTCTGGACTGGATTGTGGACTGGAAAACTTTTGAGAATTTTACTTTTTTCACTCGTTTTTGGCTCGTACGTTCACGCATGCGCCATTAAACGGTCTCTTTTCAGTTCCTTCTTTAGTTTTGCCAATTTTTAATTTATTCTGGGATCTGGCGGAATTACCGGTTTTTTTTCTATAAGAACAGAGTAGTGTAGACCTAGGTTATCAAGAAAAGAAAATTTTTCAACAGGCTCTTAATTCGAAAGAATGCAACATTTTTGTATCATTTTAGGCTTAGATAGAAACTTTCCAAAAAATGCCATTTAAAATTCTTTTCGAAATTTCTTAACAAAAACCTGGAAAGTTCCTTATTCAAGTCTTCTAGAATTCTTCAAAAAATCTCATTTTTTTTATTTTGTTTACAAAATCGATTTTCACAGTTTACACAAAACTGATGCTGCGGAAAACAATGATAAACCACAGGTAGCCCAAGCTCACTATGATAGCCATTATTCTGCTTAGATAATTATGGCAACCTGTGGATAAACTGAAGGATGGAGCCATTTTGCAAGTCCAGGGTCCATATCGGATCATATCAGCTCAGCATTTTCCATATGTTATATGTTAAAAGGGTCAAGCGTCGGGGTGTTACTTTACAACACGCAAACAGTCTACCGCCACTCTGTATTACTCCAACTCTCTCACGGAAGCAAGAATAATCCATTTTGGCTCGACACCAATGCAAAGAGCTCTGAACATTACCTATTATTGGTATGATTTAGACCAGTAAGAAGTCGAAAGATATACGACATGCAAGATCTTAAAGATTTTCTTGCCCCGAAAACAGTGAACAGGTTCAGTTATGTGGCAATTTTGGGTTGGCTTTTTCTCGGAATTGTCCTGTCAGGAATCTTTCTAGACATAGAAATCAACGAATCGAGGGCTGATTTTCGCTGTGGCTCAGAAGATGCCAACAAGGAAGTAATAAGTGGAAAGTGTTACGAACAGTATGAAAAACGAAACAACAAATTCGGTATCCCTGTGTATGGGTTCGTGATTATTAACTTTCTTGTTACTGCAAGTGTTTGTGGAATTTACTCACAAGCGGTGAAGTCGAGAGTTAATGAACTTGAAGCCTCAACAAACGCGGGAGAAGAAGGGCAGACTCGACAAGAGATCACGGGCCCAACTCGGAAAAAGCTGTTCATAGGATACTGTTGTCAGCTTGTGGTCAGATTTCTGCTTGCACTTGTTTTTGTCCTTCTGCAGGCCAAACTACTTTATTCGCGTAGTTTTCCTTCGAACTTTAACTGTAATTTAATCAAGGAAGGCAATTTTACAGCGGCTCAAAATGTAAAACGGACACAAACGTCATACGAATGTCATAATCAGCGGGCAGCTAAGAAAACCTTCTGGGCTAATGCCGTGATCGTGGTAAATGGAGTTTTGATGTTTCTTGTGTTTATCGAGGTTCTATGTATCGTGTTTCTATGGGTAAGAAAAGGACAAAGGTTCTTGGAGGACCTGCAATTTCATAACTCTTATCTGAAATCCAATTCAAGAGTTTTTCCAGAAACCCAACAACAGGAGTTAATCATCCACCGTAATGACACTCCAAGCGAACCGCAGCAGTCAAGCGCTCCATCTAACAACGAACAACTGTCATTCAACTGCACTGAGACAAATGAACAAACACCAGTCGCCACTTTCATCGAACGTATGAAGGAACACGTGTTAAGTAAAACCGAACGACATGATAGAGATCCTTTTGATCCTAAACCAGGTGAAGGCTGTCGAAGAGATCAAACGCTTGACCAAATCTATACCAATTTGATGATTCACGAGGGGAGGATTAAGTATGACTTGACTGGAGAAAGAGAGGAACAACTATATGAGTACACCAAACCCAGAGAACATTCTCCATCAACACTAGTACTGGCAGGAGATATTTTTGATGCTGAAAAGCAGAATATACTTGTTGTTGGTCGTCCTGGAATTGGAAAAACTATGTTTAGCACAAAGATTCTTCGCAACTGGGCATCCAATAGCTTGTTCACAGAAGCACAAAAATCGCCGGTGGATTTCAAAGTCGCATTTTTCATTAAGCTAAGGAGGTTTAACTCCAAACAAGACGAAAAATTCAGTCTTCGGGAGCTTTTGAGTCACTCAGAGTATTCCGCAAAAGATCTAACCGAAGAGGTATGGAACTACATTCTTCAAAACCCAAACAAAGTACTTGTGATTTTTGATGGATTTGACGAATATTCTGGTAAGACTAAAATCGATGAGGAAAGCCATTCTTACAGATACAATGAAGAAGCGGGGAGCATGCCTATCCATATCCTCTTTATGAAAATAGCATCAGGAGACATTCTTCGCGGTGCCACAGTTTTAACGACCACAAGACCTAATGCCGTGTCATTTATCAGTAGTCTCCACTTTCATAAAACCGTTGAAATTCTGGGATTTACAACTGACCAAGTGGATGACTATGTGCAGAAGTTCACAAAAGGCGATGACCAGAAAGCAAACACCATAAAGCAGCACATCAAAAGCAACCTTAACCTCTTATCCTTTTGCTACATTCCTGTGAATTGTTTCATCATTTGCTCCTGCTTGTTTCAACTGCTTAACAACACAAACTCCGACAGCCCTGGCCTCCTTCCTACAACACTGACCGAGGTATACTCCATCGCGGTCAAGTTTTTTTACTTTCGTCACCACATTAAAGAAAACAACATAGAAAAAATATTCCTTAAGCCATTTACGGAACTGTCCTCTACTGTGCAAAAGCTGTTCAAACGTCTAGGAAAAATTGCCTTTGACGGTATAGAAAAGGGAAAACTAGTTTTTGAATCACACGAAGTTAACGACCTAGGGAGTAATGGCTTGTTTCACCGTTTACCTGACTCTAGAGACCGTCCTTTAGCTGAGCCAAGACCGCAATATTGTTTTTTACACCTGACGATACAGGAGTTCTTAGCGGCGAAGTATTTGGTGGACACGTACAGTTCCGAAGACCTGCAGAAGTTTGTTTCCGATCACATCCAAGATGGCGCGTGGAAGGTTGTGATGCAGTTTGTGGCTGGACTGCTGGCTGAAAAAGAAGGACAATCAACAGATATTTTCAGCGACCTTCTTCCCCCAGAAACGGATACTTATGAAGTTAAAATCAAGATGAATGAAGATTCAGAGGAACGAACTGAAATACTGACCTGTTGGCCAGCTGGTGGACACAGGTTATTAGTGGTGACGCTATTCAATTGCATGTATGAGAACAAAGCCTCTGATCGAAAAGTTCAAAAGAAACTGGTGAAAATTGGTTGTAATGCACTTGATTTTAGGCGTTGTAACCTGTCACCTCTCGACTGTTTAGCATTAGTGCATGCACTTAAATCTGTTGAAGGAATTTTGGATTTTAATTTATACCACAACAACCTTCAGTCGCTAGGATGTATTGAGATTGCGAAGTTGTTACCTGGCAACCAACACAATCAGGGTTTTCGCGGACTAAAAAGATTAAACCTCGGGGATAACAACATAACTGATGAAGGAGTAAAACATTTATCCACAGCACTCACACACACTAACTGCACACTAAACAGCTTAAACCTCGGGGGTAACAACATAACTGATGAAGGAGTAAAACATTTATCCACAGCACTCACACACACTAACTGCACACTAAACAGCTTAATCCTCGGGTATAACAACATAACTGATGAAGGAGTAAAACATTTATCCACAGCACTCACAAACACTAACTGCACACTAAACAGCTTAAACCTCGGGGAAAACAACATAACTGATAAAGGTAAAAATCTCGTAAAGTCAATGAACATAAGCTGTAAAGTATCTTTCTCACTTTTTGGATTTTGATTTAAGCTTCAACAACCTTGAGTCGCTAGGATGTATTGAGATTGCGAAGTTGTTACCTGGCAACCAACACAATCAGGGTTTTTGCGAACTAAAAAGATTAAACCTCGCTTTTAATCAGATAACTGATTAACACCACACTAACTTCAAACTAAACAACTTAAAGCTAAATCAATATTGCTTTTTCTAAACTTAAAGCTCAATAAGATAACTGATGAATGTATAAAACGCTTCAATGCCAGCACTGCACTCACATATACTAACTGCAAAAGAAACAAAGCTTAGACCTTAGAGCTAACAAAATAACCCAGCAAGGGATAAATCTCTCAAAAGTAGGGAAAATGAACTATAAAGTATTTATCTAAGCATGTGTAAATATATTTTTCTGAACAGCAATAATTTGAACTACAGTCTTTGACATTATATTTTCGATTTTTTAAAAAGAAGTTAAGTTTTTTGAGTTCGTCAATCAGGTAACTTCTAAGCAATCTCGAAGCTCTTAGGTTTCCGTTTATATATTGTTTTGGTTTGTTTTTTCTTAATAATAGTGTGGGTTTTTGTGAGAAGAGAAAATTTGTTTGGTCACTACTATAGCTTTACATAGCAACAGGGTGTGATTAAAAAGAGAAGAAGAATGTGTATTTATGACCCATAATGAAGACTGGAACAAATTGATGGACATTTATATATATTATTCAACTTAGATAACTAAACATACAGCTACATATGAAGACATTTTCCTTTAGGAATATTAGTTTAATGTGGTAATCCTGTTTCACTGATTTACAGTAAGTGTCACCTTAGAATTCTATTTTGCAGTTATGGCATTTTCTAAAAGTGACTGATACATCATGTTTAGCTTTCCTGTAAGTATTCATCCTTGTATATAAGTTTAGTTTTTGATATGATTAAAGTTCTGTTAGACCAGTATTACAGATGTCAGCCTGGCCTCCCCCCTTATTAAATCAATCTGTGCATCCAGCAAAATGCAGGGCAAACTGCTTTTGGGACAGAAAAAGCAGAGCTGGGTCTAGCAAGGGGATAGCGCGGGGAGGGGGGAGGGGTGTATGCGCCCCCTTTTACCGCAGAGATACTTTATCTTCGGCTCAGATGTAAAGCTTTGTATGTAAACCGTAACGGATCCAGACCTGCTTGAGGTAGTTTCAAGGTGGAGCGGTTGTTTCATGCCCAAAATAAAGTGCAGAGCTTCGGTTTTGGCCAATAACTGAATAAAGGAAGGGTCTCCCCATTAGTTGAGTTTAAAAACCCTTTTTGCTGATCAAGTAACAAGATATCCTGCCCTGAATAGTTTGAAATCAGCGGCCTTACCGGAGTCAGAAGGCAAGATTTCACCAACTCACCTTTCAAAAACTGTTAACTGCAGCCATCTCTTTTGTTATTGACTAAATGGGTGCGAGTTAACACACCTGCTAACATAAGAAGTAACAATTAAGCGGAAATCCAAGATTCCCGGTGAAGCGAAACTAGCACAAGGGTACTGTAAAAAAAAAAACAAAAAAAAAAAAAACATTTTTTTATCCGGGGGGGGGGGTGGGGGCGCACTTGAGGAAAGTTTGGGTGCGAATGTGCCGCTGAGTCCTTTAATTCCTGAACATGTTTAAGACAAAATAATCCGTTCTTTCCGCGGTTTCGTGACCCAGTCTCAGTATTCATCAGTTCTCTTTGTCGTCACGCAACGATCCTCCAGTTTTGGGGAAAGACATAAACACCATAGAAGCTCTTCAAGCCCTAAGAGTGATCAGCGTCAAATTTCTTCTTGTAATATCACTGCTTTATAAAACAGAGTGGTCATGAGAATTAAGGACATGATCACACAAGATGAATCCAATTGATACTTCAACAAATTCTCCCCACTACTTCTATTGAAAACGTATAGGGATAACAAATGAGAATTTGAATTTTGATGCTAGGGTTTAAGGGGTTAAAGAGTAGTCTCCCTAATGCGCTCTGGGATAACAAGGAAAGAGAGTGTAGGCGGAAGCTATTCCGCCCTCTCTGGATATTTGTATAAGTGTTTATGGACTCATGGGATCGTAGTTTGACCAAACCTAACCAGTCGTTTATGATACACATTTTAATATTATTTGACTCTTTGCATTAACACGATACAGTTACTACATTTACTACAACATGTATGACTTTTCTTTTGCGTGAGTCAAAACGTTACATCCTAGAAGGAGAAAATTTGACGAGCATTCATTATTTCTTGTAACAGCGTCGTCTGCAGCAATGTCTCTATCATTTTCAAAACCTTTTTGTTTTTGTGTTAACTATCATTTGGAAGTAATATTTCTTTTTCTGTTCGTTGTCGTTTATCTATGTCATCATTTTGTTTATCCTGCTCGTTACTATCATCACTGTCTCGATTCTGCTCCTGTTCCTTGTCATCGTCCATCTTATTATACGCCTCGGTAAATTTCTCATCAATGAAGCTCTCCACCAAACCTTGGATCTCCCCTTTATCTGGGCACTCACGTTTGCCAAGAATCCGCCGGATATCTTGTACAGCTGCAGATGTGGATCCACGATGCAGCTCCAAAGATGATTTGACGAGTAACGTGATATCCAGCGGCAACAGAGCGGCGCTGATTACAGAACCAGCAACTTGTGCAGCGCGCATCCCCGCAATGGCCGCACTTCTGGCTACAGCGCCTGCTGTCGCTGCCGCTGATGCAGATATTGTGGCTGCGGAAGTGGCTGCTCTGAAGAACCTGGCACCGAATTCTACTCTCTCTTCGGTGGACGCGCTGATCTCTTCATAGGATATCCGCTGACTAAGACATTCAAATCCACTTCCTTCTAATTCTCTGAGCAAAACCGCGTCATCATGCAATGGTTTAAGGAACTCTGCTAAGCTAGAGATGAAGTTCTCCCAGGAGTCTAACTGTTTTTGGAGCTCACTACAAGCTTCACGATCGTCCTCAATTACCGCTTGCACTTCTTTGAGTCCTAACTTTTCCAAGATTATCTCAACGACTTTGGAACCAGACACGACCAGTCCCCCCGCGCCACCAATTCCTGCCCCCACAATGGACACTACGATTGCGGCCCCAAATGTGAAGGGTGCAGCAATGAGGCCCGCAACTCTTAGGATTCCTATTATTAACTTTCCTATGATGTTCATGTAGCTTTGTTGCTAGTTCTTATACTTGTTTTTAGTGCGCGATCTTATTGGAATCCAGCTTAGAAAAGCTTCGTTTCAAGAAAAGCATCGCCATCGGCACCTTTATACCGACTGCCTACCCGTAAGGAAATAGCGGGGGAAAGTATTTTAAAGAAAAATACAGAGGTAGAGTCTAAGGAAGAGCTTTCTAGCCTGTTGGCCTGTTAACTCTTTTAAGTCTTTTCACCGGACTGATCGCAATGAAAGATTTTCTTACCCCTTCAGATAGTCTCTTGCTATCAAATTTGCCTGTGTTTATTATGAGTCGAACACAGTAGGATGGGCCAATCAGTAAAACGTAAATATACGCGTTCAATTTTCCGTGAATCGATCAATCGGTATTCAAACCCGCAATAAGCAAATTACTCATGATGACTAATTATGGATTAGACCTTCATTTTTAAGGGTTCAGTTTACAAGTACATCACCAACTTTCCAGTCATCTAGTGATGCAGGGGGCGTCTAAACAAAATCGGAAATCTTTGCTACCTTTTCATACAGGCAGCCGCTCAGAGCTGTGGGCTCAGGCTGTCGTTGGTTTTCTTTTCAGAAAATTAGCAAAAAACGACAGAATCTTTTATCTTTATAAGGCTAAAAGTAATAGTATTTAACACAAATTTGGAACAAGGCAACTACCGTGTGGCACGAAATTTTTGCGGGGGTTTATTTTTGCGGATCTGCGATTTTTTAAGTTTTGCGAGAATTAATTTTGCGATAAGGACAGACTGGTTTTTCTCTGGGAATTAATTTTTGTGATTTTCAGAAAGTACCCAGTACCCAGCATTGATGATGTTTTCGTTTTTTGTTAAGTACGTCCAATATAAATAGTGTTACAGCATTCGTATGTAAAACCAGTTATTCATTGTATACCGTTTTGTTTCTAAATAAAGGAGTCAAAGTTATATACATACCTAGTGATATATCGCCAAGTATGTGTGTAAATCAATGTTGAACAAACGTTAAATCACCTTAGCTGTGATATGTTGTCGTCCTTTTGCCTCAAAAGCGGTTTTATGAGCGTTTTTGAAGCATTTTGAGTTCGCCATTTACTGTTCCTTATATAAGAAGGACTAGGGAGGAATCCTTGTTTTGAAAGGGCTCCAGCGCCTGCGCGATTTTTTCCCCGAAAATCGCATCGCTCCGCTTTAAACCTTGCAGCAAAAGGGTCGAAAGATTCACCCTTCTTCTCGTACCTTCCGATCGAAAATCCATCCAAAAGGCCCGGAGCTAGCTCTCGAAGAAAATTAAAATCCCACAGTTTTTGAATGGTCAAAATGCGTAGCAAGATTCATACGTACCAGTGAGAAATCGTGCCACTGATTGCCTCTTTTTGATTGGATTTCGTTAAACAATAATCGCTCACCAAATCTGCTTTAAATCTACCCTGCGAGCACTGGTTTCTCGATCAAGGCCGGAGAAACCACTGCTTGCAGGGTACTTTAAATCAGTTACTGTTTAACCATTTGGTTAATGACGTCCAATCAAAAAGAGGCAATAAAATCCAGTACATTTACTATAATTTAACAATCCGCTACACACACAGATTCTGTGGCCCCCTAATACGAGATTTTGTCGTCCTCACATCGGAGAAAACTCCGAGCTCACGAGGGTTTTGTCGAGTTTTGGAGAAACCTCGGGGCTCACCTGACCTTGTTTGTCCTAGTTTAATTAATGGTAAATGATAATTCATCTGTGAGATTAACTGTTTTTGTTGTTGTTGTTGTTTTTTTTTAACAGAGAGGTGTTTAACAGTATTTCCTAACTTCAATTAAACATCGAAATAATATATCGGTAAAACGTAATTCAGTTACAGAACCATATGGGCCACAAGTAATCTCGCATGGGGAGAAATAATTTAGTCTTAAGATTTTCAAAGTAACAATAGATAATGGAGCCGAAACCAATTGTGGAATTACACGCATTTTAGGCATCCTACTGATGAACAGTTGCGACACGTAGATATATATTTTATAGCAACTACTATAATTTGCAGTCTGTCCACTTTGAATAGAACAGAGTACAGATATGTGTGTTATACCTTGTTTCTGAAATGGCATGATCGATATCAGCTAGCCCATAAAAGGGCACGTTCATGCGCCTTTTTCTTTTTACAAAAGGGGGCAATATAACACGGTCCGGGGGCGTCCTGGGCAGGGCCTGAAGAACATCCTCGCGGAAGGTTCCTCGCCAAGGACAACTTTGTCCCTAGGGAGAGGGATGTGTGGGCGAGGTTCCGCTGATCCTCTGTGGGGAAGAGAGGGATTGGTAAACCTCTTGGAGAGAGAGAAAAAGCCTTGAAGTAAGGGGTCGCCAGGAAACATTTTGTCCAGAAAATTAACGTTTCTAAAAGATATAGGTAGATAAATACGAGAAAAAAATCTAAATGATACAAGTCAGTTGTCATTTAACATTTCGTAAAGAATTTTAGAGCCGCAACGTAATATAATGAACATTCTGTACAAAATAGTTATGAAATTCATTTACAAAGACTCTAAACCAAAACAAAAAAAAGACCGCCATATTGAAATGCAATTTTTTGACCTGTTTGAAGAAAACAGAAGCAAAAAAACCCTAATACTGACCTAACCTCTGATTTTTCTTTCGCTCGCTCTTTTTTTCTTTCGTGTTCCACTATCTGAATGCCTGAAATAGCCTACATTAGCTCGTATAAGCGAACCTCATACCTGTCGCGGAGACTGGGCCGGAGTGTATACGTAGTTGAGATTTTGATTGACAAGTTTCTCGTACGTGTGAGCGCAATCGACTATGACTTGGGTCTTTAAACCATGAGAGTGTGATGCGGGAGTGAATTACTGTAAACTTGTTGCGTTAAACTCGGTGACTTGTGACCTTGTTGGGGAAACTAAACTATTATTGCTACTGGGGGCATTCCTGGCATACCTGCTCAATTTATGACAGTTTAATATAGTGCCAATGTGTTAAACAGTATTGCAAGAAAAGAAATTAGTATTAAAATGCCTTACTGATTCAGATTTTCACAAAAGTACGAGTGGATTTGGGATTTAGAAAAAATTGCGCGTCTTTCGACTTCTGGACTTGGGTCAATACTGATCTCAACTTTCCGATTCCCAAATTAACTTTACACGTGCTCCTCCTTCGAGTCCGCTCACGTGCGTACGTGGCAAGTACAAAGTTTAATCTAATCTTGAGGTCCTTGTTGACCACATTCCGTTCAAACTTAATATTGAAACTTGCTAGAAATGAAACTTTTCATCTTTTTTTTTTTTTTGCAAACATGACATGTGCCGCTAATAACTGAGCGAAACTGAGCTCGTTTTTGCTCGTCCGCAACAATTTATGCACGCAACTGCCGGCTTTTAACTTGTACATCGGGAAAGTACATGCGAACGTGCTTACAAGATGTGAAATCCTGTATTGTGAAATAGTGGCATCTAAGACGGAAAATTGTTTGAACTTTTAACCTACTATTAACAACCTTTGGTGATCGTAGTGTGCTTATTTTGGCAGCCAAATATTTTTGTCAGTGGTTGTCTTTACAGCCAAGTTAAGTAAGACTTAAAGGCACTGTCACGATATTGCGCATGTGTGAGTTTTGACAGCAGCTGATTGTTTTTAAACCAATCGGAAGCGAGTTAGATGCACGCAAGGTAATAAACATAATTCAAATTCATTGTTCGCGACGCTGGAGTACTTCCGGACGTTTGGTTCGATTTTATATATCCCTATAATTCATATTTATTCTTTGCTATTTCTCAGGTACATGTTGAAGCTGCTAGCGTGTGTGAAGGCCTAAAGGTCATGTTACACGAGACGATTCGCAAGGACGATTTTTAGCGCAACACAGCGTTGCAACATTGTTGCGATGTTGTTTGGAATTGTTACAACATTAATTGTTGTCTTTACACAAGGCTGTTAAGTAAGACTTAAGATCTGCTAAGTTTTACTTAACCAAAAAATAGGTGTGAAGGCCTAAGTGAAATCTCAAGTAACTTTACTTTGCATCTCATTAAAGTCGGAAAGTTGAAACGATTCAAGAAAGTTTCAAGTTTGAAAACCATCCTTAAAACCGACTTAGCGAATTTCGGTTTCTAAGCTTTGAGAAGGGCGAAACATGTCAATCAATCTTAATTATGTTGCGTGGGAAAATAGGCTTAAGTAAACCTGAAGTAAAAAAGATAGGTTGTGTGTGAAGCTTTCTTTTACTGGAAGAATTTAAAATTTACTTGTCTTGAAATATTTCTAAGCTTATTTAGGCTGTAGTGTAAAGACTACCATTGTTACAACATTGCAACCCTGTGCTGCGCTAAAAATCGTCATTGTGTATCGTCCCCTGTAACATCACCTTTATAAGTAAAATCTCAAGTAACTCTACTTTGCATCTCATTAAAGTCGGAGAGTTGAGACGATTCCAGAAAGTTTCAAGTGACTTGGAACCGAGTTTAGCGAACTTGGGGTTTCTTGAGCTTTGAGAAAGGCGAAACATGTCAATCAATGCTAATTATGTTTCGTGGGAAAATAGGCTTAAGTAAACCTGAAGCAAAAAAGACAGTTTGTGTGTGAAGCTTCTATTTACTTGAAGAATTTAAAATTTACTTTTCTTGAAATATTTCTTAGCTTATTTCGGCTGTAGTGTAAAGACTACCAGTAACACTGTTGCATGACGTCAGCGGCCAGTCAATCACCGAATGGAATATGATGATGTAGGTTCACTTGCGCCCCGCCCCTAGTGGGTTGACTAAATCGAAATCATTTTTCTCCTTCCATTATCTCTAATAGAATTCAAAAGCTAAATGCAAGCATTTGTAGCTCATAAGCGAGGAATCGAGAAGCATACAACATGGAATGTCTTAAAAATTTGCTTGCTCCTAAAACACTCCACTGGTTCAGTTATGTGACAAATGTATGTTGGATTTTTCTCGGAATTATCCTATCAGCAATCTTTCTAGACATTGAAAACAGCGAACCGAGATTTGACTTTCACTGTAGCTCAAATGGCGACAAGGAACTCATTGGTGGAAAGTGTTACGAACAGTATGAAAAACAGTTCAATAAATTCGGTATTCCTGTGTATGGGTTCGTGATTATCAACTTCCTTGTTACTGCAAGTGTTTGCGGAATTTACTCACAAGCGATGAAGAAGAGAGTTGATAAACTTGAAGGGCGGACTCGACGAACCGGTAAAAGGCTTTTCAAAGCGTACTGTTTGCAACTTCTTGCCAGATTTGTTCTTGGAACTTTTTTCATCCTTCTGCAGATTAAATTGCTTTATCCTCTGAGCTTTTCCTCGAACTTTGACTGCAAATTAACGAGAGACGGGAATTTTGCAGACATTTCGGCCAGTGCGTCCCGCAACGTAACGCAAACGCAAACGTCCTACGAATGTCATAATAAACGAGCAGCTAAGAAGACCTTCTGGGCTTATGCCGTGATTGTTGTAACTGGAACTTTTGCGTTTCTTGTGTTTATTGAGTCTCTCTTTATGTTATTACGTGCAAGAAAGGTAAAAGACTTTATGGAAGACCCGACATTTCATAAATATTATCTGAGTTCGAATCAGCAGTTAAATGCCCCTCCGGCAGAATCCGAAGAGTTAAGCGCCATCATCGATTATGACAGTCACACCAATCCACCATCTACCTCTCCAATTGACAACGAGTCCCCGTCAGAACAGCAACAACAACAGTTTAACAAGGAAGACCCGAACTTTCATAAATATTATCTGAGTTCGAATCAGCAGTTCAATGTCCCTCCGGCAGAATCCGGAGCGTTAAACGCCATCATCGATTATGACAGTCATACCAATCCACCGTCTACCGCTCCAACTGACAACGAGTCCCCGTCAGAACAGCAACAACAAGAGTTTAACACCTCATCAGTAGCTACTTTCATCAAACGTATGAAGAAACATGTCCGTAGTGTCACCGAACAGCCTTGTGTAGATCCTGGTACACCTTTCCATCGCAATCCGGGTGAAGGCTCAAAAAGTGATCTAAAGCTTGACCAAATCTACACCGATTTGATTATTCATGAAAACAGAGCCTTGTCTGAATTTAGTGAAGATAGAGAGAAACAACTGAAAGAATACCACAGACCCAGAGAAGAGTCACGATCAACACGGCCGGGAGATATTTTTGATGCTGACAAACGGAATATTCTTGTTGTCGGTCGTCCTGGAATTGGAAAAACTATGTTTTGCAAAAAGATTCTGCGCAATTGGGCATCCGATAACTTGTTCAGCGATGCACAAAAATCTGAAATTGATTTGAAACTCGCTTTCCTCATTAAGTTTAGGAAGTTTAACTACACAAACGAAAAACTCAGTCTTCGCGAACTCCTGGACGCATCGGAGTATTCTAAACTACCTCTATCCGATGAAGTTTGGCACTACATTATTGACAACCCAGACAAAGTACTCGTCATATTTGATGGATTTGACAATGTAGAAGACTCGATGCCTCTTCATACCCTGTACAAGAAGATATTATCAGGAAAAATCCTTCCCGGTGCTACAGTCCTAACGACTATAAGACCAACTGCCGTGTCATTCTTCGAACCGCCCATTGCGTTTGAAAGAACAGTTGAAATTCTGGGTTTTACATCTGCAAAAGTGGAGGAAGATTTGGATAACTTCACAAAAGGTGATGGTAACAAAGCAGAAACCATAAAGCAATATATCAGAAGTAACCTTAAACTCCAATCCTTCTGCTACATTCCTGTGAATTGTCTAATAATTACTAATAATTTGTTCGTGCTTGTCACACTTGGTGAACTCACCCGTCTCCGGCTGCCTTCCCTCAAGTTTAACCAACTATACTCCATAGCCATCAAGATTGTTTACTTTTGTCACTATGATATCCAAAGGCGTTACCCACCACACGAAGCTCAACAGTTTTATCCGAAGCCATTTAATGCGTTACCTTGTTACAAGGCTTTAGATACACGGGTGAGAACCAGGGGGGGGGGAAATTACACCTTTTGCTGTTCATTAAGAGAAAATACGCATTCATTTGCGTGAAACGGCGACTAACAGTGCGACGATACATTCATTAGCGCGAAAAAACAAACATTTGCGCATAAATCAGATTCAATAACGATTTTTGCATTTTAATCAACATTCAATAACATTTCGCTCTCCATTTCATAGCACTCTCCACTATCTAAACGCCTGGAAAAAGCTAAGAGCTGACCGGAGGCAGGTGAATGCCATTTTTTGTTGATTACAACATTCCAAGTGCGAAGCACAACTGCCCAAAAAGGTTTAATTGGAATGTGGCTTCCACTTTTCTATGTGAATTATTGTGGTAGAGAACTTTAGCCAAGAAACATTGATCTTTTTTGTCTTTTTTTTGGCAGTAGCTGTACCCACAGAGATGGAAAACAAGGACGATATCAGTGACATGCTCGAAGACCACGAATCATTCATCGTTAAGCAAATCACTGAGCAATTTGAACAGTTGTGCAAACTTCGAGAGGAATTACACGACGCTTTTCTAAGCTGGATACCAATAAGAACGCGCACTAAAGAACAATTAGAAGAACTAGCAACAAAGCTACACGAGCATCACAGAAACGTGAATATCTCAACCATAACAGGAGCATCCATGGGTACCGTAGGAGGGATCCTTTCAGTTGCGGGCCTCATTACTGCACCATTCACATTTGGGTCCGGGATCGTAGTGTCCCTTGTAGGGGCAGGAATTGGCGGCGCGGGGGGACTGGTTATGTCTGGCTCCAAAGTCGTTGATATAATCTTGGAAAAATTAGGACTAAAAGAAGTGCAAGAGACAATTGAGGACGATCGTAAAGCTTGTAGTGAGCTCCAGAAACAGTTAGACGCCTTGGAGAACTTCATCTCTAGCTTAGCAGAGTTCCTTAAACCGCTGCATGATGACGCGGTTTTGCTCAGAGAATTAGAAGGAAGTGGGTTTGAATTTCTTAGTCAGCGGATATCCAATGAAGAGATCGGCGCGTCCACCGAAGAGCGAGTAGAATTCGGTGCCAGGTTCTTCAGAGCAGCGATTTCCGCAGCCACAATATCTGCATCAGCGGCCGCTACTGCAGGCGCTGTGACCAGGAGCGCGCTTCTTGCGGGGACGCGCGCGGCACACGTTGCTGGTTCTGTAATCAGCGCCGCTCTGTTGCCTCTGGATATCACGTTACTCGTGAAATCATCTTTGGAGCTGCATCGTGGATCCACATCTGCGGCTGTACGAGATATCCGGCGGATTCTTGACGAACTTGAATGCCCGGAAAAAGGAGAGATTCAAGGTTTGGTGGAGAGCTTCATTGATGAGAAATTTACCGAGGCGTATAATAAGATGGACGATGATAAGAAACAGGAGCAAGAACAAGGCAGTGATGATAGTAACGAGCAGGATGAACAAAATGATGACATAGATAAACAACAACGAACAGAAAAAGAAATATTACTTCCAAATGAGAGTTGACAAAAAGGTTTTGAAAATGATAGAAATAATACTGCAGACGACGCTGTTACAATAAATGATAAATGCACGTTAAATTTTCCCCTTCTAGGATATAACGTTTTGACTCACGCGAAGGAAAAAGTCATAAATATAGTGGTAAATGTCGTAAGTGTATCGTGCTAATGCGAAGACTCAAATGATATTAAAATGTGTATCATAAACGACCGGTTAGGTTTGGCGAACCAACGATCCCATAGGTCCATAAACACTTGTACAAATATCCAGAGAGGGCGGAATAGCGTCCGCCTACACACCCGTTCATTGTCACCACGGAGCGGATGAGGGAGACTACTCCTTAAAAAGCTTCTACGGTGTTTACGTCTTCCTCCAAAACTGGAGGACCGTTGCGTGACGAGAAAGAGAACTGACGAGTAGGAGACTGGGTCACGAAAACGCGAAAAGAACGGATCATTTTGTCTTAAACATGTTCAGGGTTTGAAGGACTCAGCGGCACATCCGTACCCAAACTTCCCCCAAACTTCCCCCCGCACCCCAACCCAGGATAAAAACACGCATTTTTGTTGAACAGCACCCTGATACCAGTTTCGCTTCACCGGTGATCTTGGATTTCCGCTTAATTGTTACTTCCTATGTTAGCGGGTGTGTTAGCTGGCACACATTGAGTTATCATTAAGTCAATAACAAATTAAAGCGGAGGCTATAGTTAATAGTTTCTAAAGGCGAGTTAGTGAAATCAGCCTTCTGACTCTGGTAACGCCGCTGATTCCAAACTATTCAGGGCAGGAGATCTTAGTTTTTAAACTCAACTAATGGGCAGGCCCTTCCTTTATTCACTTATTGGCCAAAATCGAAGCTCTGCACTTTATTTTGGGCGTGAAACAACCGCTCCACCTTGAAACTACCTCAAGTAGGTCTGGATCCGTTACGGTTTATATACAAAGTTTTACATCTGAGCCGAAGATTAAGTATCTCTGCGGTAAAAGGGGGTCCTTGCTAGACTCATCTCTGCTTTTTCTGTCCCAAAAGCAGTTTGCCCTACATTTTGCTGGATGCACAGATTGATTTACTAAGGAGGGAGGCCAGGTCGACATCTATAATATTGGTCTAACAGAACTTTAATCATATCAAAAACTTAACTTATATACAAGGATGAATACTTGCAGGAAAGCTAAAGATGATGAATCAGTCACTTTTAGAAAAAGCAATAACTATCGCAAAATAGAATTCTACGGTGACGCCTACATGTTCAGTAATAGCATTCCAACAGGAAAATGTCTTCATTTGGAGCTGTATGTATAGTTATCTAAGTTGAATTTATTTATTTAAATGTCCATCAATTTGTTCCAGTCTTCGTTATGGGTCATTAATACACATTGTTTTTTTTTTTAAATCACACCCTGTTGCTATGTAAAGCTATAGTAGTGACCAAACAAATTTTCTCTTCTCACAAAAACCCACATTATAATAATAATAATAATAAAAAAACAATATATAGATGGAAATCTAAGAGCTTCGAGATTGTTGAGAAGCTGCCTGATTGCTGAAAAAAAAAAGTTAACTTCTTTCTAAAAAATCGAAAATATAATGTCAAAGAATGTAGCTCAAATTATTGCTATTCAGAAAACTATATTTACACGTGCTTAGATAAATACTTTAAAGTTTATTTTCCTTACTTTTGAGAGATTTTTCCCTTGCTGGGTTATTTTGTTAGCTCTAAGGTTTAAGCTTTGTTTCTTGTGCAGTTAGTGTGTGTGAGTGCAGTGCTGCTAGTGAAAGGGGTGATGAAAGGTCCTTTGAAATTTTTAACTGCTCGCACAATTTAAACGAGTGCTCGCTTGCTCGCGCTCCGTAAATTTTTGCAGTTGCGCGCAATCTCGCTTTCTTGTCAGTATTGCTCGAAATTTTGTAAATCCTTCTTTGGTCGCGCGAGAGGGAGACACGCGCGCCCCATTCTTTCTTGCGCCCACTAGTTCCAAGCGCCTGCTACGCAGGCTAGTGCGTGTCCCAAGAGAGGGAGCTAGGGGTGGTGTAGCCTAGGGGTGGTGACTCTGAGAGCTCAGTTTCCTCAGTACCTCGTTTAAGGTGCACGCCATCAAGGTGTATGACACAAGTTTCATTAATAAAACGCACGTTTTATTTTGCCAGAAAACTAAATAACGATAAGTCCGAGCAAAACCCAAAATACATTTGCCACATAGCTGAGCAGAATTAAAAAGAATTAAGAATTAAGAGCTAGTTAAAAAAATATATGTTTTGAGTAAGGATTTAAACTTTTGAACTGTTTCTGATTTTCTTAACGAGATGGGTAATGCATTCCACCATGTGGGAACAGCAACAGAAAAAGATCAAGATCTTCCCACGAGGGAAATCTAATAGTAATCCATCATTTGATCGCAGATGATAAGCAGATTGATTCCTTTCTGAACTTAAATTCGTTATATAGGGACTATATACTGCATAACACCTTTTTGCTCCGACGCGGTCGTTTCATCGCCAACCATCAACCTTTATCCGCCCTGGTCAAAAGATATAAGATTCTGCTTTTGTAAAAAGTTACAAAAACTTAGTGGTGTATAGTGAAAAAACATTCTAATTCGGGAAAATATATAAAGATAAAAACCGGTTTATATAAAGAAAAGAAAGTAAATGTAAATTTGAAACTTTCGTAAAGTGGAATAAAGAGTTGCTTCTTTATCTGTTTGTACGTTTAGTTCTTGTTTACAAGGTTTTTAGTCGGCACGTGAGCTCAGTGAAGCCTTAAAAAAAAATTTTCTTGGAATTTGAGTTTGACGCCATGATCGCGTGAGCCAATGACGTAAAAGTTAGGTTTGCAAGGGCGCATGGTATAGCTAATGGAAGGTTTTCAGCGTTGGCTGGCGACAACGTGAAAGCAGAATTGTGGCTTCTTTTTAATCAGTAAGGATGGAAAATGACTTAAATTTGCTGCGAAGTATTTTGGGCGCTGTTAAAAGAAGACTTCTCATGGAAGTGGGTAGAGGACTTGGGAGTGTAGGCTGATTGTAAGTCCGGTTCGCTCGAGGTAAGGAATCAGAAGCATGTTCATACGATTTATCGTTCTATTTGCGATAATAATATAAGCTTTTAGTTTAAACTGAAATGATTTATGCCTGTATGTGTTGCGGTTTGTCGAATTCCATATGGCCAGCTAAAAGAAAAGGGTGTTCACTTTTGTTTGACTGCTAGTGTACGTTGCAAGGTGAAAATACGTTGCTGTGGTAAAATTGACACAAGCTGGCTGCATGTAAAACATCTGGATGAATTTATTGATAAATTCCTATAGAAATAGTAAAATTAAAACTATATTATAAAGTTTACGCTTGGCGATTAGGAATATTGATAAAAATGTCGACATGTTTATCTAAAAATGCATGGTAGTGTAAAGTTCAGATGAAATTTAACTTTTTGGACTAGGTAAATAAAACCATGGATAATTGAAAAAAGATTAAGTGTATTTATTTTTTTTTAATTATTTACATAATTCTGCATTATAATTACGTATTAAATGTTCATATGAACATTCATGTTATTTGCTATCAAGAGTGTAGTA